ATTGTGAAGGTCAATATCAGAAACATTGGCTTTCAATGCGAGGTTGGCTGCTCTAACCTTAGTGTATTTAGCTATTGAACTTGGCGAGGCCAAGTTTTCTAAGTTGACTTCAGTGACTTTTTTCAAGCTAAGTCAAAACCACCCAGGAGAATCAGAACAGCCAAAGAGCTTTCTTTTGAAATAAATTTAGTTTGTTGAAATAAGGCCTCACTCCAAAGACAACCAAGAGTTGGGAATCTTCTAGGATGCTCAGAAAATAGATGTTATTTTTTCTATTGGACTGCTTCAGTGAAGATCAAATCAAATCAAATCAACCTTTATTGTCAAAGTACATGTGTACAATGAGATTGGCTGAGCCTCCCTTCGTACACACCCCAACAGAACTCACGGTGACAACAAACCCACCATCTTATTACACCATGTGAACTTATTGCACAATGTGCCAGCCCCGCAAATCTATCATACATGGAGTTACTTCCCATTCAGGAGTCTGACAGCCCATGGGTAGAAACTGTTCTTCAGCCTGTTGATGCGGCTGGCTATGCTTCTATATCTTCTACCCAATGGTAGGAGAGTAAAGAAGTGCCGATCAGGATATGAGTTGCCCCTGAAGGTTTTCCTCACTCTTCTAAGGCAGCGTGCCCTAGCGATGTCGTCTAGTGGTATCAGGGGACAGCCCACGATGTTTTGTGCTGTGCTCACCACCCTCTGTAGTGTCTTTCTATCCGTGGCTGTCAAGCCAGCATACCACACCATAATACAGTGTGAGAGGACGCTTTCTATAGTGGACCAGTAAAACAAGGTCATCAGTCGTTGTTCCACTTTGTTCTTTCACAAGAACAAGTGGAGTCTCTTTTGGGCCTTTCTGGCCACCTGGGTTGTGTTGATTTTCCAGGTGAGATCTTTGCTAAGATAGACTCCCAGGAATTTAAAGGAGGAAACCCCCTCATGTAAAGTGAAGTGGGTTCCTCTCTTTTCTTCCGGAAGTCTAATACCATCTCCTTTGTCTTGCCGATGTTCAGGTGCAAGTTATTTTCTAGACACCATGAGGTTTTTATACCTCCCCCCTGGTCACTGTTTTATCTCCACCTGTAATAAGACCCAATATGGTGGTATCATCTGCGAACTTAATGATCGCAGTAGATGGTCAGATGATACACAATCATGTGTGTACAGTGAATACAGGTAGGGACTAAGCACACAGCCCTGTGGCGAGCCAGTGCAAAGCTTCAGGGAGGTGGATATGACAGACCCGACCCTCACTGTTTGTGGCCAGTCCCACAGACAGTCTTTGATGGAGGGGGAAAAATTTGTGGCCAGTCCCACAGAAAGTCACAGATGGAGGGGGAAAAATTCAAGTCAGTCAGCTGTTCGATAAGGATGCTCGGCGTCGTCTGTCAACCTATTCCCCCTATAGGCAAACTGATGTTTGTCAAAGTCCATTGGGAGGCATGTCCTAAGGCAGCTGTTCTCAACCTGTGGGTTGTGACCCCTTTGGGGGTCGAATGACCCTTTCACAGGGGTCGCCTAAGACCATCGGAAAACACATATTTCCGATGGTCTTAGGAACCGAGACACTGCTCCTCTATCCATCTCCGCACGGCTTCGAGCTGGGGGCCGTTGCAGCGCTGGATTCGTTTCCGTCGAGCATCTTCTAAGGGAGGCTGCGCTGCTTCGCAGCTCTTTCCACAGAGGAGGCTGAACTAAGCTCTGCCGGCACTGTCGTCCTCTTGGCTCTCTCTCTCTCTCTCTCTCTCTCTCTCTCCCTCTCCCCGTCTGGGCCCTTCTCCAACCAGGCTGGGCAGAACCGGCGGAGTGGCCTTCCTGCCCCCCTCCCCAGCCAGCTGGAGCCGGGCAGGCTGGCAACCTTCGGAAGTGAGGCGAGGACAGGCGAGGCATGCTGAGCCCGGGCTTGGTGGGTGAGTGGGCGGCGGCAGTGCGCGCTTAGAGAGCCCTTAGAGTTGGGGGTCACCACAACATGAGAAACTGTATTAAAGGGTCACGGCATTAGGAAGGTTGAGAACCACTGTCCTAAGGTGTCAGAGAACCAGTCTTTCGAAGCATTTTATCACTACAGACGTTAACGCAATAGGTCTGTAGTCGTTGAGGAAATTAATTGCTGTTTTCTTCAGGACTGGGACAATGGTGGCTGCTTTCAAGCATAATGGAACACAGGCTGTTTGCAGGGAGATGTTAAAGATCCTTGTCAGGACCCCTGCTAATTGATCGGCACAATTCTTTACCACTATCCCCAGCACCCCATCTGGGCCTGCAGCTTTGCTGGAATTCACAGCCTTCAATACATCTTTCACTTGATGTTTTATAGTGCTGTGGTGGTGAGCCTATGGCATGCGTGCCACAGGTGGCACACAGAGCCCCACCTGTGGGCACGTGCACCGTCGCCCCAGTCCTAGGCCTTCAGCTGGGTTTTATAAAAGCTTTTCGCTTTAGGCTTCTGCCATGTGTAAAAAAAATGTTCAATCAATCAATTTCAACTTCTCACGGGAAAAAAAAGATCTCGCAAAGTTGTAATTGATTAATTGAACCTTTTAGTCCCATCCAGTCTACCGTTACCACCATAGCATGCCCACGCAATTGGCCACACCCACCCAATGGGCCACGCCCACCTGGCACCCAACGATACATAAGTGGGTTTTGGGTTGCAGTTTGGGCACTCGGTCTCTAAAAGGTTTGCCATCACTGTTATAGGGTGAATAGCTGGAAATCAGAAGGCTGGCAAGCAGAGGCTACAGGGTCTGGTCTTTTCACCTCATAGTGAGCAAAAAAGATGTTCAACTCCTCTACCAACAAGGCATCAGCATTGACCGTGTTCCTCGTGTTGCCCTTATAGTTAATTAGGTGCTGGAGTCCCTGCCATACTTGCTTCGGGTTGTTATCTGCTAGGTGGTTCTCCACTTTATGTTTATATTGTTGTTTTGCCATCTTAATGCTTTTTCTAAGGTTTGCCCTGGCCTCTCTATATGTATCCCTGCCCCCTGCCTCAAAAGAGAATCCCGGGCTCTCAGAAGTGTCCGTACCTCTGCAGTCATCCAGAGTTTACAATTCCTGTAGACTCTGATGCACTTTTCCATTGTCACACCATCAGTGCACACTTTGATGTAAGAGAGTACGGCATCAGTGTATTCAGTGGGCATGAGATGTGTGTCAAAGCGATTCTGGGAGCTATATTACTGGGAGCTATTAAGAGCAATGGTCACATAGTTACTTTCAGCCTCTACTGCCTGCAAAATACAGGATTGCACTGGCAGGTTTACGAGCTAGGAACTTTTCATTATTCTTTCCAAAATTGCAAATGCCTGGAAGTTTATTCCTAGAAATTTAAAGATCTTAGTTTGCTGGATACTTGTACTGTTTATTTGATAACAATAAATATGGCTATGCCTTTTACTGAAGAACACTAGAATGATTATTTTTCCCCTTCAAAATGAAAGTTACTTAGGTTCACTTGAGTATGGAGCATATCTGCATAATGGAGAACTGAGAAAGGTTCATTAGCCAATTTGAGTGGATGGAATTCAGTGTGTTTTAGAGCTTGGATTATGGAGTTTACGTAAAAATTAAATAGGAGAGGAAGAAACAGATAACCACTCTTCACTCATTTTTCATTGGGAATTAGCACCAAGAGACATCCTGGAAAGAATCTTCATAGGTTTCCATTCAATCAGAGGCTACTAGTTTGATGCAAAGCCCATCACTCAGAAGTAAGTCAAACATCATGTTAAACTGAAAACAGTGTTATATCAGGCTCCTTTTGGATGATATGCACTTTTTTCACACAAAGTGTAGTAGAACTAGGGGAATGATAAAAAATGGATCTATCTGTTCAAAAAAATCTAGGTGACTCCTTAATCAGAATCTTATTATGAGCCAGCCAGTTAAGCAATTTCAAATGTAGGCATCTGGAGTACAGTTTACTAATTGTAATTAGGAAAATAACTGAGTATTAATTAGCTGGATCAAAATTAACTTTTTTTGGAACGAATTGTTATTGACTAGGATCAATTCTTCAAGATCTAGCAAGCAGCAGGCCTGCTAGTTGGAATTTACCTTTAGTAATTCAGCTGCAAACAAATCCTTTCTGAATGCCTTACTATGTTACAACTGGAGGATCAGTGTGAATGTCTGCAAGGATTATGAAAGGCAATCTCTTTTAGGATAGCTTTAGAAGGACTGAATCCTTTATTTCATCACTGAATGAGGAAATGCTTTGAAATGATTGATCTTTAGAAGTAATTGACCTAGATGTAACTTAACCCCTTTAGAAAAGAGTAGATTATCATGCTGAGAAGTTCATAACCATGACCATTTGGACGATCATACCAATTATAACACTGCTTCTGGGGTTTTTTTTAATTTTAAAATATATTTATATTAAAATATATTTTCTAAAAATATCAAATACTAATTTTTGAACTGATCATCATTATTGGCTAAAAAGCTCTGTAATGTTAACTAACCTAAATTGGCCATAACACAATCTTGATCAAACCACAACTTGAGTATGGGTTAGATTCTCATATTCTTCACTGGAACTTTAGAAATTAATATTTTCTGAATTATGAAGACTATTTGATGAAATCTAAATCATACTTCTGAGACATTCTTCCCAGTAAAGATTAACTGGCACAAAACGGTGGCTCTAAAATAGCTAAAACATCATCATAATACTGTTTTCAGCTCTTTAGAGACACTAATTTAACATATTCATTACTGAGACTAATTATTCATTGATAATAATTATTTGTAACTTTATGTTTAAAGCACTTTTGTTCATTTTCTAATTGCATTTTATATATACTCACACACATGATCTAAGTTGTGTATTAATACTAAATGAGATGTATCATCATTAAAAAGTCTAGTACATATCTGAATGTTTATGCTTGCTAGAAAACATGGGAATTAAAGTCCAGTAAGTTTGGAAAGAAAAAAATATAAATTAACACCAGATCAATCTCCAAAACTGAATTTTTCCCTACCTGTTGTTGTTTCATTATGTGATGCAGTTCCATTGTCATGAAATGCTTCGGAATGTAGAAAATTAATGGAAATTAGCAACATTGAACAAAAATATTCCATCTTGGATCTGTCAAAGAAACAATAAGTAATTAAATAAATCTGAAACAATATTTTAAAAATCTTAACAGAATAATTTCCCTCACATTTATTAGAGAAATTAATTTAATTTACTATTAGAATAAAAAATGTATTCTGTCTCCAGTGGTCTTTTTACTTTTGTCTAATTGCTAGTTCATTTGCCAGATCTAAAGATTTGTGTTGTTTCATGAAAATATACGAAAGAAAAAATACTTTTTTGATGCTGCTTAGTTGATGCGTTTTCTTTAACCAACTCATTTCTCCCTTTTTGAGGATCCCATCGGTCCAACTCAAACACAACTTTCTCAGACTTCCTATCCTCTTGGTCCATTCAATCTTCCTTCATATATTTCTTTTGTGATTTGTTCCTAATCATTCTGTTTATCACCCAATCACATCAACATATTTCTTCCTTAGAATATTTTATATCCCACCCTCCATCATTCTACCAGCATTTATTCATGATAAAATTTATGTATTTTCCATCTTCACTTTTCTCTTCATTTCATTTTTTTCTGTCAAACATAATTGTTTGATATATCAAGTATGATACTCTACATGGCCTCATTCAATTTATGTAACATTCTCTAGAAATAATTCAAGTTATCTTGACAAAGGGATTGTCCATATAGAAAAGTATACAGATAACCCCATCTAGCTAAGAATATAGATAAATCCATCTTGCTAAATTTATCACAAGCATTGCTTTTACATTTATGATACAAGCATTTAATAGTCAAAGAGATGTCACAAATCCTTGTCATATTCCTTGCTCGATTTTGGAATCTTTTACTAATCATTTTTATTTTTTGTAAACGTATACCACAAACACATGCACATACATCTTTAGTCTCTTTCACTTCATTATTCCATTAAGAATCTGTTTTCTTACTTCCTATTAGCATAAGTCTAAACAATTCCCTGGTACTCTGCAATTTATTCATTCTATTCCAAGCAGCATCTGTATCCTTTTTCTTTACGTCCACTTTGCATTCATTCATTCTCCTGGGAAATTATTCTGCTCAGTCTTTCACTTTTACTTTTTTTTCTTATTTCTTTTTATTCCTAAATAAATACAAATTCTTCTATTTATTTGCCCCTAATGGTCTGTCTGTTATCATCCTTATCATCTCTTATCATCCTAACTTATCATCTTTAATGAAGGATGTTTCTCTTGTGCCATTCATTAACACTCCCAATCTTTCATCATTAACAGTTAAATTGATCTACTATAATTCAATTATGGTTTCACTTGGTTTCTCTTCTATGTATATGTATGAATAGAAATGTTCTTAACTACTTAAATATCTTCCCTGGGAAATGTTCAAAACTAGTTTCATTTCTAATTTGTTCTTGGATGGCCAATCAATTTTTGTGTACCTTTTTAGCTCTATACCACACATTCGTTTCACCTAACTCGATAATTTTTTCCTCTGGAATGCATATACTCAGACTGTTGCTATTTTCTCAAAACTCATTACCCCTGCTTATTGGAGCAAAACATACAACTCTCACTAATTTATCAATTCCTTCTTTCATACATATCAAAGTAATCTAATTAATGCCAATTCATATTTTGTGCTATATTTTAGCCTTTCATTCATAATTAAGTCTACACATATTTATCCTTTGCACCCCACAAAATCAGAACATTTTAAAATTTATTCTCCTCTCTCTTAGTTTCACAGGCACACTATGCATTTATTTCTTTCATTAATTTATATTACTTAACATTTACTCCTCTGACATTCTGAGTCATAATCTTTTACATGCCATGGTTGTTATTAGCAAGACAACCTAGATACTGATGCCTAACAGTAAGTAAGTTTTGTCATAACATTTCTTTGTAAGATGGAGAAGGAGTAAGTTTGGTTTCTGGCTCTAGTTATACCTATGATCACTATAAGATTCCCTGATAATAATAATGACAATACTGGTGTGTATTGACACATTTTGGTCTGCCTCCCATAATAAGCACAATCAAAACCAAATTATACCCAAGCATAATCATGCTGTTCAATGCAGGCTAGAGTCTAATATGGCATCTATCTTGCAAAAACAACACACTATTGCCTGCATCTCATTAATAAGCAATTAGAAGACACATCCAATATGCTGACACTGACTCAAGACAGGATTATGTTGCAGTTACAAATTATATTTGTTTAAGTTCATAGTAATGGTATATGCATTGTCTGTATACAATAGTTCTATACCTGTATGAATTGATCTTTATATAAACTTTCTATTACTTAATTTACTTTCCAAACTATATCATACAGATACTTGCTGCGCTTTGCAAAATATAATTGGCCAACCAAATATAAGAGTCATTACAGATAGGTACTTGTAATCCAAGACATTAATTATTGTAGCATCCAAATGCCAGTATTAATTATATGCTATTTTGGCTGAAGGAAAACATTCAGTGCATATTTTAATAAGTATAAAATTAAAAAATATGCAAATAGTAAAAAAACAAACTAATTCCTAGGTCCTAGAATAAACATTTGGAAACGATCGGTGATATCCTAGTCAACTATTTTGCTGAATTTTGTTAACGCCTTCCATTTTTTCTTCAACAGAATTTTCAACCATAAAGCCCTCACCTTCAGGCTGAAGTGGTACTATTCAGGTTTCTACATCATTTGATTGCAATAACAATGGTACTTAGACTTATATACCACAATGCTTTACAGCCCTCTCTAAGCGGTTTACAGAGTCAGCATATTGCCCCCCAAGAATCTAGGTCCTCATTTTACCGACTTCAGAAGGATGGAAGGCTGAGTCAAGCTTGAACCAGTGAGATTCGAACTGCCGAACTGCTGGCATTCTTCAGTCAGCAGAATTAGCCTGCAGTACTGCGTTCTAACCACTGCTCTACCACGGCAGTATTAATTACACTAATACAAAAAAGATAGCTTGAACTAATGTGTATAGATTGAGTGATATATATTTATAGAATATTAAGCCACTCAAAACTTCAACAAAATAGATGCATTATCCACTAAAATCACAGCATCTGCAGTATATGTTGAAGGAGCACGTGTCCGTGTTTGCATTATCCCAATCAATCAATCAGAACAGAGCTGGAAGGTACCTTGGACTGTCAGAAGTCATTTTTTTTCAGTGCCACTGCAACTTTGAAGGTCACTAAACAAACTGTTGTAAATTGAGGACTACCTGCATCTCCACAGCCATGTAGAGAGAACTGCTTTTGTGAGAAGTAACCAAACACTAGGATTTTTATGGTATGTGTTCTTTCATACATTTATATAGCGTTGAAAAAAGAAGAGCCTGAGATTCAGAATCAGAATAGAGCTGAAAGGAACTTTGGAGGTCTTCTAATCCAATCCGCTGGTCAAGCAGGAGATCCTCTATACCCTTTTCAGATAGGTGGCTGTCCAGTTTTTTCTTTAAAACCTCCAGTGATGAAACACCCACAACTTTTGAAGGCAATCTGTTCCCTCAGATTAACAGTGTAGCAAACAGTGAAACAAAGTCAATCAACAGGAAAGCCAGAACCAAAAGTGGTTGTGGATACAAATGTGATTCTTATCTTATTCAGTATGCAACTTACTTATTTATTTTAACTCATTTATATGCCATTTTCTCCACCAGACTCTGGGTGGCTTATAGAACCACATCAATAAACTCTAATTATAAAATCAGCATAAAATTATTCAGCCAGCCAGTCACCTAACAGCTAAAGCAAGAAATTATAATCTTCAGGGACAACAGCAGCCAACACTCCTTCAACCTATTTTCACTTAAGATTCACTTAAAAGTGAAAAGAACAAAGCCAGCATACCCACAGAGAAACCTTGCTTCTATATACTGCCATTTCTCAGTCAATCCAGGAACAGAGGATCACTAACAGATCTTCCCCTAAAGCAGTGTTTGTCAACCATAACAACTTAAAGATGTGGGGACTTTGAGGCCCAGAATTTCCCAGACCATGGGCAAAAGAAAGCTCAGGACTGTATAGGCTGGAAACATGCAGAAGAGGACTTTATCCTGCAGTGGATATACAATGGCTAAAATGATGATGATGATGATGCTTGAAGAAGGCAGTTCTTTTAGAAACAAAAACTGGAGTTATGTTAGGATTGATAATAATAATCTCTCTAAATGGTACCTGAAAACCTAATGACACTCAGTGTAGTCCTGGATTTAGGACCACAACTGAGCCTAAAATTTCCACTGCTGAGCAAGACAGTTGTTAAGTAAATTTTGCAATCTTTCCTGCAGGGAATCACTGCAGTTGTTAAGTTAATAATACGGTTAAGTGAAAGTGGCTTCCTCATTGACTTTAGTAATAGTAGTAAAGTTGGAAGGGACCTTGGAGGTCATCTAGTCCAACCCCCTGCTCAGGCAGGAAACCCTACACCATTTCGGACAAATGGCTGTCCAGTCTCTTCTTAAAAACTTCCAGTGTTAGAGCATTTACTGCTTCTGGAGGCAGGCTGTTCCACTGATTAATTGTTCTCACTGTAAGGAAGTTTCTCCTTAGTTCTAGGTTGCTTCTCTCCTTGATTAGTTTCCACCCGTTGCTTCTTGTCCTGCCTTCAGGTGCTTTGGAGAATACCTTGACTCCCTCTTCTTTATGGCAGCCCCTGATATATTGGAATACTGCTATCATGTCCCCCCTTGTCCTTCTCTTCGTTAAACTAGAAATACCCAATTCTAGCAACCGTTCCTTATATGTTTTAGCCTCCAGTCCCCTAATCATCTTTGTTGCTCTTCTCTGTACTCTTTCTAGAGTCTCAACATCTTTTTTACATCGTGGTGACCAAAACTGGATGCAGTATTCCAAGTGTGACCTTACCAAGGCATTGAAGATTGCTATTAATACTTCACGTGATCTTGATTCTATCCCTCTGTTAATGCAGCCTAGCACTGTGATTGTCTACTAGGACTCCGAGGTCCCTCTCAGTCAAAAGGTCGCAAAAGATGCTCACATGACCCCGGGACACTGCAACTGTCATA